GGCTCAGTATGTAAAGGTGGTTGCTGTCAAATCTGATGAGCTAGGTTCAAACCTCAGAACACATGTGATAAAAGAAAAGAGCTACACATTATCTCTGACCTTCCTACATAAGAGTGTTCTGGTGGGTACTCACACAAACAAGCTTTAAAAAAATTAAAGAACATTGCCTTTGAGACCTTGCCTATCCCAAATTTCAATTTCTTTTCTACATAAATTAGGATTAATAATTAATTGCCATATTTTTGAGACCATACTAAGTTTAGAAGATTTCTGTATTTAGAATTTTAGAATTCCCGTGTGTGTGTGTGTGTGTGTGTGTGTGTGTGTGTGTGTGTGTGTGTGTAAGGAAGGAAGGAAGGAAGGAAGGAAGAGAGGGAGCCAGGCTGGCTAGGAACACACAAGAGTTGATGTTGCTCAGTAATAAAATGTATGTTTCACGTGTGTGAAACCTGGGTTTAACCCCAGCACCAGAGGGTGTTAGAAAAAGCAGCAAGTTGATTTTAAATCTTGAGTCTGAAATTTGTGGATAGCCTAGTATGTTAGGAAGTCAGATAGGATTCCTGTGTTCTTTGCGTTTTCTAGTTTCTGGTCTTTGCTCCAATTCTTGCTTGTAGATAAAAACCTTTACTTTCTGCTTCTCTGGTCATACAATTCTGCCTCTATTAATATGACACCCCCATTTGTTTGAGTCAGGGCCTCACTATATGTATGCAGCCCAAGTACTTTAGCTTCTCAAATACTAGTGCTTGATACCAAGCCCAGTGATAAGTTTTCCTTTTCTAAGAATTCCAGCCATACAGGATTAAAGGCCTAACATTGTGTCCCTTCTTTAGTGACCCTGCTTATAAATAAGGTCTTACTCTAAGATATTTCCTAAGTCCTAGCCTGAGTTTCTCATTTGGATATTTATGACAACTTTTATCTCATTCATTGCTCACTTTGGGAATTCAGGTTGCTTCATGACAGATATAGAAGGAAACTTGTATATATGTTTTTAAAGAAATACATGCAAAGGGTCAGAAAAAAGCTAATATCTCTGATAAATTCAGAGTTGGAGGATCTGAGATTACACAAAAAGCAGTTTTGTTTCTATACACCAGTAATGAACCATTGAAAAAGAGAAATTAAAAAAAGTGGTTTCATTCACATTAGTATCTAAAGGAATGAAATGCTAAGGAGTAAATTTAATCAAGGAGTTAAAGTTTGTATCTTCAAAATGAGAATTTTCTGGATGAAACAAAGATCTACATAAATTAAAAATACAGTTAAGAGGACGTTGGTACCCCAAATGATAGATATGAACACTGCCGTCCTGTCAAAATTGATAGTGGAATTTCAAGGGACCAAAAATAAACTTAAAAAGCAGAATTAGAAGGTCTATCTATATGTCCAGTTCCAAAACTTACTAGAAAGGGCTGGTGGGATGGCTGGCTTCACTGGTCAGTACACTTGCTCCCAAGACTGATGACCTGAGTTCAATCCTTAGGGCCCACATGGTAGAAGAGAAATTGACTCCTTCGTGTATATTTTTATGCTCACACATGCACCCTCTCCACCCCTCCCCACATATTTTTAAAAAATCTTCCTAAAATGTTGTAGTGATCAAAATATCCCAGTGAATAGAAGAGAGTCCAAAAATAAACTCTCAGGTACACAGTTCAGTCTATTTTCAACAAGAGTGAAAAGCCTGCTGGATGTGTTGACTTAGACCTGTAATTGCAGCACTGGAGAGGATGGGGCAGGAGGAGTTTTAACTAGTTTGAGGCCAGCTTGAGCTAAATAATGAGTCAATCCTACTTTAAATACCCCCCCCCCCAAAACAAAACAAAACCAAAGGAACAAACAAGCCAAGAAAAACAAAAAGAGTGATAAGATTATACAGGGGGTGAAATTTATCTTCTTTTTAACAAGTTACACTGAAGTTAATTCCCAGGTCTTCAAAATGAGATTTAGTGCTTTTCCCCCAGTTTCAGAGCGCACACGCGCGCGCGCACACCCACCCACCATCTAGGCTACATGAGACCTCTGAAAGAAGCAAAATTACTGGTTGACGGAAGCCTATTAGTTTGTTAGGAGTTATCTGAAGGAAACAAAAGAAAAACATGCTCTTGAATTTTAGTATTAGTGAAATGCAAAAAATAAAGCTCTTCAAAAGAATGTGTGTTTCATTGTTTAGTGCAAATATTTAACATTTAAAAATGAATCTTGTTTTGAGGTAGGGCCTTGGTGTGTATCCTCCCCTGCTTTCTGACAGGCTGTATCACCAAGCTAGCCTTGAATCTATGCTGCTTCTGCTTCAGCCTCCCACCTGAGACTGCAGTCATGCACTACTACTCTTCCTAAGACAACACCTTTTTTTTTGTTTGTCTGTGTATGTGTGTGGTGTGTTTGAATGCATGTGTGGGGGGCTAGGGATGAACAGCAGGCATCTTCCTTGATGTCTTTCCACTTTATGTATTGAGACAAGCTCTTATTGGAACCTAGTGCTCACCAGTTTGGCTTCCTGGCTAGCACTCTGCATCTCAATTTAAGTTTCAAACTTTGTCAGCAAGCACTTATTCATACTGAGCTATTCCCTTCAGCCCCTGAAAGATGAATTTTTCTATTCTACAAATACTCTATGAATATATCTATAGACCTGGTAGTTGATGAGCACTGAAAGGCTGGCAACCTCGCAGATGTTCTTCCTGTTCTTTTACGGCGGGGAAACTGAGGCTTAGATGGTGAGGTGACTTGGCTGAAGTCATACCTTTGGTAAATGGTAACTGAGCTTCAAATCTAAGTCCTTCCTGTTAAACATACGGCCTCTTACTAAATTATACCTTTCAGTGCTATTTACTTCTCTTTCAGATTTGATGTTTTTATACTTAAGGTTCTACCCGGTGCTGTCTGAATGCAAGGTGGAGCTTGTGAAGGAAGCAGTAGGAAAGATGGCAGATGGGCAAGACTGTATAAAGTTTTTAAGAGATGGATGGTGCCATGTACTTCCTATAAATTATTTCTTCTAATTCCTTTCATCATTCATAGTATATAGGATGCCCTTGTGTTGGAGTATGTAGTGGTAGAACCTTGTTTGAAACCCAGCTTTGTCTTATTTCCAAGCTTACATTTTTTTCCCCTTGAAGTCTCTTTAAAATGATTTGGAACTTTTCTGCTAGATCAGTACCTTGAAATTTAGAGCTTGCAGGGGTTAATATAGAAAATTATTTTAGTGGCTCTTTGAAGCAGCGTGTCAATTCAAAGTGCTCCTAAATAATTTTCTCAGTCAACACATTGTTATAAGTAGATTAACTGTTATATGAATTTAAAAGTTTTTTTTTATCATTTAAAGGTTTGGAAAACACTTTTAAACTGTGTGTGTGTGTGTGTGTGTGTGTGTGTGTGTGTGTTAAATCTGTTATGATAAATAGAGGTACTTCATAATGGTGGAGGTATTTAACTGCAGTTTTTAATTTTTGTTTCTTAGGTGAAGTAGAGTTTTACTTGAAAAAGTTTTGTGAAGTGATACCAGTTACCTATATGCACAATCCATAGAGTTCGTTCAGATTCTAAGATTTAAAATGTCTGTAGTTTTTACAGTCTTTTGAGCAGCTGAAGGTGTCTATTGATATTAAGTTATGAAACAGAAGGTGTCTGTGCACACATGAGCACTATTACCTGTTACTTTAAAACTATATGGGCCTGGAGAGATGTCTTAGCAGCTAGTGTACTTGTTGCTCTTGCAGAGGAGAGCCAGGTAACCTAGTACTCAAAGGCAGTTGACAATCATTTGTAATTCCAGTTCCAGAGAATCTGACTCCCTTGTTTATCCTCAGTGGGCACTGTACCACACTTGGTGCATGGATATATATGCAAGCAAAAATATCCATGTACACACGATTAAAACAAAACAAAACCAGAACTACCTTATAAATGTTTTCAAATACGGTATGGCCCCAAAATGAGCTTTTGCTCATTTTTTTGCTAAGAGAAACAAAACAGACATTGAGAATGAAGATATAATAATACTTGGAAGTTTAAGTAATTTAGAATTTGGATTTACCATTTTGTAGTTTTACAAGTTATTTATATAATTAGATGTATGTTGGTAAGACATGCAAGTATACACACACACACACACACACACACACACACACACACACACACACACGATACTTTGTTACCTTGGTGGAGTTAATTGTGGCTTGGCAAATCAAGAAAGGGAGTCTTGTACTGTTTTCAGATTGCAGAATCTTGTTGCTATGTAACTAGCATTGTCAGTCAGCATTGGGCGTAGTAAATTGGTATTCTCTGCCCCTTTTCACCACAGGCTCACTTTGTAAATGGTTTGGGACTATTTTGTAAGTTTTTATTTTAAAACGGACATTTAAAGATTTTTGTTGCTATTCATAATTGGTTCTATTTAAGGTTTGTAGAGTTTCTCTGCACATAGAAAACACTAAAATGCTTGTGCTGGGAGAGTTTATAGATCTGTTTCCAAGTTGTTTCAGGTTAGAACAGTGTATTTTGGTTTTGTTGCTGAAGAGATAGCACCAACTTCCAGAGTGTATTTTTTGCTTGAGAATTCAAGTTAAATATTTTGAACATCAAAATTTTATCATAGTACAACGTGTTTTGAAATTTACTTTTGGAAAGTAAGGAAAGTATCTTAAGATGCTTTTAATTGTAAATGATTTTTAAAACAGGAATCTTGAACTTTTATACAGTCTTATATGGAATATAATGATTTATTTTCCAGTAGGAGAAATGAAAATACAGTGACAAAATGGGTGATAGATAACAGTAATAACAGGGTTTCCCCTACAGTTCTGGCTGTCCTAGAACTCACAGTGTAGACCAGGCTGGCCTCTGAACTCACAGAGATCCGCCTGCCTCTGCCTCCCAAGGGCTGGGATTAAAGGTGTGCACCAAAACCACCCGGTGCAATGTTAATCTTTTTGAATATTGCACATAAAACATAATATAAAGTTTGCCCTCTAAGGTACATACTTCTGTTCCAGATCAAAAGACTGAGGCATAGAGTGATATAAAATTAGCGGTTGGTGGAGCCAGGCTTCCAGCGCCAGCAGTCGGACTCTTGACTATGCTCAACCACTGTGTTATGTTGCCCTCTTTTGGAATTACTTCATGCTATGTTTGGTAAGAGCAATGATAAAAAATGTATTTTTAATTGCTTTATGTAGCTTTTTCAAGTCAATATTCACTGCACTTTGCTATTTACTTTGTAAATCACTGACATATTTAGTATATTTTTTTGTAGATATTTGTACAAATTTTGGTGTTTAAAGCCAGGGTCTCATAATCTAGACCAACCTAAAACACTCTGTAGCCCATACTATGTTTGACCTCATAGACCTCCTGTCTCAACCTTACAGGTGTTATGAATTCTAGTACAATGCTGTCCAAAGCTTACAGCCAGTTATCATTGGGTCATCTACTTGGTCTAGTATTTTCTGAATTTTGGCTCTGGGTGACCGATAGTAACTGTGCTATTGCAAATCTAGAGAATAGAGCATTGGGCCTGGGTAAAAGAAGGGAAACATTACTAAGGCGGTGCTTACAAGATGAAAGTGGACTTTTGTAGATTCTGCTTTCCTCCTGCTTTGTTTAATGTGGACACTATATTTCTATTTCTGCTCTCCCCCTCTACCCCATGAGACAAGGTTCCTTTGTGTAGCACAGTCTGCCCTTGAATTTGCAGTCCTTATACAGCAGCCTCTTGACTGCTGGCATTATAGGCATGACCCACCAGGCCCTGCTTCTGTGTCTATACCTTAAGGACTTGACTTTTCCCTCTTTGAGCCCCACCCTGCTTTCTCAGCTGCTAGACTTTCCTCCCTTAAACCCAGAATCTTGATTTTCTGGATTTATACATTGTCTTGTGTTGCTCAGCAGATTTACTCCATAATTTCCTCTTCATGTTTCTTGCCGTTGCACCATGTTTTAAAGACAACTTTTTTGTTGTTTGTTTTTTAGTCAGGGTTTCTCTGTGTAGCCCTGGCTGTTCTGGAACTCACTTTATATACTAGGCTGGCCTGGAACTCACAGAGATCTGCTTAAAGACAGCTTTTACATTGCAGTTTATGTCCAGGTGATTATGCTGCATGCATTTTGCATTGTTAGCTTGGTGTATTTTCCATTTTTAATGTTTTTAAGAAACTCAGAATTTTATTACATGAATATTTCACTGTAATTTACCTTTCCCGCTGTCTATTTACATAGTTGAAATTTATTTTGTATAAGGAATAATGCCCTTTTAAACCCAAAGTTTTTTTTTTTCTTCTAATTGTAGGCTGTGTCCTTAAGATAAAATTCCAGAAATAGTAATAGATCCCTGAAGAAATAGAAACAGTTTTAAAAGCTCTTGAATCATATTGCCAAAATGCTTTCTAAAAGTGTTGTGCCAGTTTTTATTCCGGCAGGCAAATACACAGCTTCACAACACACAAGAGTGTCCACACCACAGCTTCACAACCTGCAGCTGCAGAGAATGTTTGGATGTTGAACTTTAAATGGAAGAGTCATTAACTATGGGTTCTGCTGAGCTTTTATCCTAAATTATGCTTAGGTTCTAACTGGTTATGGTCAGATTCCTGAGAAGGAAGGCATAGCTTACCAGACTCAGCTCTTTAAACTGTTTAAGTTTTGTTATGATGCAGGTCTTGCTCTGTTGAGACATTTCTCGGGCACATTAAGTGCCTTTCTGGTAAGAGTGAGCCTCAAGCATTTTGATAAGTTGACTGATGGGGAGAGATTGGTATGGTTTCACATGACATTTATTTACCTGGATAACTGGGTAGCTTTCCTCAGATGTGTAGTAGTATCTGAAATTGCTCTCTTAAGGATGGATAGGACATTTACCCATGAATGAAAGAGTTCATGGGAAAATTCCTACCAAAAGTTGGTCATAATAGTGACCTAAGTCTTCAATGCCTATATAACGTCATTTCTCTTTGGCCCAGATCACTTTGACATAAGTGATTTTTAAGGTTTTTTGTTTGTTTGTTTTCTCCTTACGGCATTAGCTGATGTCTTGGTCTTACTCCCCCATACAGCTTCTCTCTTCTCAGTGATATTGGGCTCCTGGTCTACACAGTTTGAGTGCTGCTGATTCCAAGTTCAGAATTGTTTTGGTTTTGTTTGAAATGGGGGTCTCACCCCATCACATATACTGCCATGAAACTCACAATGTAGCCCTAGTGTATCTCAGTCTTTTTTTTTTTTTTTAAACATTTTTAATTTAACTTTATTTTATGTGCTTTGGTGTTTTGCCATGAGTGTCAGGTCCTCTGAAACTAGAGTTCTAGACAGTTGTGATGCCATGTGGGTGCTGGGAATTGAACCCAGGTCTCCTGGAAGAGCAGCTGGTGCTCTTAACCACTGAGCCATTTCTCCAGCCCCCGTGTGTCTCAGTCTTTAAGCAGTCCTCCTGTTTCTGCCTCTCAGGTGTTGGGATTACAGGCATGAGCCACCACTAGCAATTTGTTTTGCCATATCTTTATAGAGCATTACGTGCATTTATTTGACTACTGTTGTGTTTTACTCTTAGAAAATCTTTTGAAAAAGAGAAGAGGACATATATGAAAACTGTGTCATCAATAATTTCATTCCTTCCCAAAGTAATAATCCTTCAGTATGTTTGATCTCACTGCTGTGATGAAACACCTTTGACTAGGTAATTAACAGGAACTTGTTACAGTTATAGAGGCTGGGAAGTCCAAGATCAAGGAACTAGCAGATTTATGGTATGATAAGGATTTATGGGTTCTAATGTTGTGAAAGACATACATCCATTTAACTTGTTGCCTCTAAGTCTTCTGAAGATATTGGTCCTGTTTAATAAGGATGATGGCTTAATGGTCTAATCACTTCCCAAAGGTCCAACCTTCTAACACTAGCACTTTGGCAATTTGGTAACATAGGACTTTTGGAGGATATGTTCAACCTCATTGGAACTGGAGTGTCAGTAAGATTTGTTATCAGTTGGTGGTGGAGGATGCCTTTAATCCTGTCAGTTGGGAGGCAGAGGCACATGGATCTCTGAGTTTGAGGCCAGCCTGGTCTACAGGCAGGGATACATAGAGAGTCTCTGTCTGGAAAAATAAAAGAAAAAAATTTGTTTTTTATACCAATCAAAAGATAATAGTTTATAGTAGGTGTGTGTGTGTGTGTGTGGGTGTGGGTGTGGGTGTGGGTGTGTGGGTGGTCATGTTTCCGCAGTTCTAGGGTGAAAACAGCAGACAATGTTGGTTGAACTGGAGTTATTCTAACTTGTAATTTTGTCTGGGCTCATTTTGAGCCCAGGTACATCCTCCTGTCTCAGCGTTCTAAATGCCAGGGTTATACTCATGCACCACGTGTTCAGTAGTCTTCACATAGTTCCTCCACAGTCCCATTTGTGTAGTTGTAAGTTGAGAGCCAGCAGTGTTTCCTTTAGTCTCCAGGGAGAAAAATCTTGCTTGAACCATTGTCCCTTCTATGGGATTAGGTCACTGTGGAGTGGGGAAAGGGGCTGCTGCTTCTGTGTTTCATTTTGTGGGAAAGGGAATGTTGACAACTAAGGAAGAAGGTAGCAAAGTTACATAGGAAACCTATAGGAATCATATCTGGTTGGTGATTTCCTTTGTTTGTTTGTTTTGTTAACTTGATACAAGCTAGTTACCTGGGAAGAACCTCAGTTGAGAAAATGATAATATCAGATTGTCTGTAGTGTCTTTTCTTGATTAATGGTTGATATGGGTGGCCCACCCCAGCCCACGGGTAGAGTGGGAAAGTTGTATAAAAGTAGAGCAGAGCAAGATAGTCAACAGCACTCCTCCTTGGCCTCTCCTTCAGTTCCTGCCTCCAGGCTCCCGCTTTGAGTGTGTGCCTTGAATTTCCTCAGTGATACAATGACCTGAGAGGTGTAATTAAGTAAACTAAAAGAAACCTTTTTCTCTCCTGGTTGCTTATGTTTACGGTATTTTTGTTGTTTTCTGAAACAGGTTTTCTCTGTGTAGCCCTGGCTGCCTGGAACTCATTCTGTAGACTAGACTGTCCTGGAGCTCAGAGATCTGTCTACCCGTTACCTCATCCTCACCCTCCTGCCTTGGAATTAAAGAAATGAGCCACCACCACCCGCTCGCTATTCATGGTGTTTTTATCATAAGAATAGAAACCTTAACTAAGACAGAGGTGAAATTCTGTGATGCTATTTCAGTGGTTTGTTAGATTGCCCAGGTACATAGTGCTTTTTAGAAATGCTCACTGCAATATTCCTTTTCTTTGAAAGAATAAGACTGGGTATAGATCTATGTGTGCAGTTGTTTTTGTTGTTCTTTAGGGAATAGGATTGTGCTGTATACCCTAGGCTGGCCTCCACATGGTAGTTCTTGTGTCCCAGCTAATCAGCACTCATCATTATGTCTGCATTCTAAGATTTATTAATTTGGCAGGTTTTTTTTTTTTTTTTGGTGTGTGTGTGTATCCCTGGCTGTCCTGGAACTAACTCACTCTGTAGACCAGGCTGGCCTTGAACTCCGAGAGATCTACCTCTGGATCCCTGCCTCCAGAGTGCTGGGATTAAAGGCGTGTTCTACCAACGCCCAGGAAAAAATTTTTTTTCTTTTCCTTTTTCAAAAAAGTTTATTTGCTTTTATTTTTATGTGCATTGGTGTTTTGCCTAAAGGTATGTCCATGTGAAATTTTGATATCTTAGAGTTATAGACAGTTGTGAGCTGCATGTATTTGCTAGGATTTGAATTTAGGTCCTCTGGAAGAACAGTCAGTGCCCTTAACTGCTGAGTCATCTCTCCAGCCCCCAGGCTTCCCCCCCCCCCGGGGTGGGGTGGGGTAATTTTTAAATGGAATATCTTTCTCCAATAATCTCTGTTCCTTTGTTTACTTAGAATTTCTATATAATGAATATAGTTTTAGGTATTTGAAGAAAACTGGAGTTTGAGATAATTTAAGAAAATCCATTTCCTGTTTTTTGTATTTATTATATAAGTGATTGTGCCCTGTTTTTAAAAATTAAACATTTGTTCTTTAAGACAACTAAGGATATTTTAACTCTTGGAATGAAAGTCCATCAGTTTCTTCTGGGGCTGGAGAAATGGCCTAAAGGTTAAGAGCACTGGTTAGTTGCTCTTCCAGAGGAC